CATAAGCTCAAATATTTATATACTGACTGAGTACGGGTATATAAGTAGAGTCGCGTCAACAGAAGCGACTTCCTTCTCGTTTGACATCGGTACAGACGGTTAATCCCGATACAAAAAAGTTCGAATTTGTTGTACAGTGTTATCATTTATATTCATCCGATCCGGCAGCACTACGTTTAGGTATATTCATATGTACATATTCATTTACATATCAAATTAATGTTGTTAAAAAAAAAAAAAACGGAAGACTTCTGCCCACGAGCTATGCTAATTTTCTAGGGGCCTGTTCGGCAGTCAGTAAATTACAGCAAAGTAAATGTGACAATTTTGTATGAAATAAATTTATTTTGGGTTTATAGTAGAAAAAGGTAGAATTAGCGCCATAACAGAGTTAAAATTAACATGAGCGACCAGACTGTAAGGGAAATCAAGTTAAAGAGGAAAAGGTGCGTTACAAAATTATAAGACTTTCATATCAGAAATTCAATTAATTTGTAAATATAAAGAATAAGCCGCTCCCGCACCGATAGAAAAAAGCCCTCAAATTTTAATATTTTCACTTAGATTTTAATATTTATGCCATTGATTTTCATCCAAGAGTGGTTGTATTAAAATTGAATATTTTTCACTTAAACTTTGATATTAAAATGAAAATATTTAAATTTAATATATTTTATATTTAAGTGTAATATATTTTATATTTAAATTTAATATATTTTATATTTAAATTTAATATATTTCATATTTAAATTTAATATGTTTCATATTTAAATTTAATATGTTTAATATTTAAATCTAATGTGTTTCTTATATAATTTAAAAATATTTTATGCCTAAATTTAATTTGTTTCATATTAATATTGAGTATATTTCATTTTTAAATTATTCGATTATTATTTTGCCTACGCGGACTACATTTCAAGTCCTCATGGTGTGAAATTCACCAAGTTAAAGTTTAATTTAAAGTGTGTATAAGGCTGCAGCAGCGTGAACCAGTTGAACCAATTCGAGGGACATAAAAAAATAATATAAACATATTTCAAATAAATACAAAAAATATTTAATTTCATTTAATATGGAATATTTAAAAAAAAGGGGACCCCATTTGATTTTAAAACAAAAATTTTGAAATCAATCATAATAATATTCAATTTAAATATGAAACATATTAAACTACAAATTTAATATATTATATTCATTTGTATAGTGTTTTGTATTAAAATTAAATATGACCGTATTAAAAAAGCCATTTTAATACAATTATATTTGAATCAAAGTGAATTCTATTTAATTTTACTATGTTTGTATTTAAAAATCGCATTTTAAATTCAAATATGATTGTAGTTATTTTTACTATGCCTTTTTTCTATCAGTGCGATCTCAGATTATCATGGAATCATTAGAGTATTTTATTTAATTTATATAATTTAATACACTTTTGCATGTATACGACTGTGTTATGTAGTAGTACCCAGGTAAAGTACCCGGGTGAGAGCGACGATCATTAACTCTCCCCGTATAGCTCCCCATTTAGTCCCAAACGCGTCCCAGACAGTGCCAAAAAAGATTTAATGAAATGGAAACACAAATATCAATAATCTGTTAAATATTGATGGACGGGAACCGGTTTCATTGGAAGCCACTCGGGGCCCGTGTGGGTCGGTCCCCAGCATTCGCAAACTTTCCTCTTAGTGCTTCGTCTTGTTGCATTTGATCAAAATTCAGATACGAGTCTATCTACTTTACTGCCCATTTGACTGGCCCTGTCTAGATCGCTGCTCTCATATGTTGTTTTTGGCTATGAGTTTTGTTTGCATGCTAATTCGTTCCCAAGTATTGGCTAGGTTAAATGTTTGGCGCCTGGATAGGTATAAAAGCCGGGCACTGCGGCAATGGTGGTTAAGTTTCTTGAGTAACTCCGGACAAGCAAAGCATCATGAAGGTCTTCGTCGCTCTCGCCATTATTCTGGCCGTCGCATCGGCTGCCCCACAGTTTGGTAGTGCCGGCGGCAACGCCAATGCAGATGCCAACGCTGTGGCTGAAGGTCAGGGCGGTAACGGCGGAAGATTCGAAGGCCCTGGTAGACAAGGAGGACATCACCACGGTGGTCACGGTGGACGTCCTGGTGCTCAAGGTGGATTTGGCGGTCCAGGAGGATTTGAAGGTCAAGGAGGATTTGGCGGTCAAGGAGGATTCGGCGGCCAAGGAGGATTCGGCGGCCCAGGAGGATTTCGCGGTCAAGAAGGAGGATTCGGCGGCCCAGGAGGATTTGGCGGTCAAGAAGGAGGCTTCGGCGGTCCAGGAGGATTTGGCGGTAATGCCGATGCCAGCGCCAATGCCAACGCCAATGCCAACGCCAATGCCCAGGGAAGTGGATTTGGAGGAGGCAATGCCAACGCCAACGCTAATGCCAATGCCAGTTCCAATTCTCGCGGTGGCGGCAGCGCCAGCGCCAACGCTAATGCCGTTGCTAACGCTGCTGGCAAGTAATCAATGAAGACGATCAGAATTTTCCTAGTGCTTTAGTTTTTTAATATTTATAAAAAAAATAAAAATATTTAAAAAAACTGAAAAAAATACCCTGAGAGTTTTTTTGTACACGGGCGCATACTTTCAATTAGGAGGAATCGAAAGATGGACGAAATTTCGTTTTCGAAATGTGGCTTTTCCCAATTCTCTACCAGTGCACATTGGGCGGAAATGAGGATTTTTTGGCAGAGGTCTTTCGAAATATTTACATAATTATACCGTACTCAAAAAAGAGTTAAGAGGTATATTAGATTTGTGGTAAAAGTGGATGTGTGTAACGCAGAGAAGGAAACGTTTCCGACCCCATTAAGTATATATATTCTTGATCAGCATCAATAGCCGAGTCGATATAGCCGTGTCTGTCTGTCCGTCTTGTTGAGCGCCTAGATCTCAGAGACTATAAAAGCTAGGGCAACCAAATTTGGTTTCCAGGCTCATGTGATATAACACTGCTACAAGTGTATTTCAAAATTTCGCCCCGCCCCCTTCCGCTCCCAGAAAGGACGAAAATCTGTGGCAGACACATTTTAAAAGATACGATTAAACTAAGAACACAGTATCGTAGAGAATGACCATATCTAACAGACTGCCGAATCTGAATCAGATCGGATCATAATTATAGCCAGAATGAAGAAATTAATTTTCTGTTGGTGCCCCCGACTACTTCAGCCAGAGACCCACTACTCATTCTCTTTCTCGCTCGCACACTCTGCGCGTTCAGTGCGCGAGCAACCCCTAGCGGAGGAGATGTAGAATCTAAATGGTACATGTATAATCTATATGTATAATATACATTGTAGATGTCGATGTAGATAGCAGATGTAGCAAAAAAATGTAATATGTAAATTTTTTTTAAAAATTCTAAAATTCTAAAAAATCATATGCTGAAAAAAGTATATGCTGACTGAGTACGGGTATAAGTAGAGTCGCGTCCCCAGAAGCGACTCACACGTTCCATCTAGTTTTATAATTATTCCATGGCTTTTTGGTAACTCTTTAAAGTCAGATATTTAAGTTTGGCAAAATGTTCATTGTTTCTGACTGTGAATAGTGTAAACGTTCACATGTCAGCGATTTCCATTCAAGAAAACAAAACGGAATTATTTAATATGGAACATTAACATCAAGGTATGTAGTATAAGTATAAGTGCTGTTTTGGTTTGCTCTGTATTTAGTAAAATTGGGTGGGATTGATCAAACTGCTTATGTAGTAGTTTGTGTATATATTTGTATAGAGTTAAAAACATGTGCGATATTAAGATACAAATAAAAAACTTCATTGCGAAGGCTAAGAAGATGGTAAAAAAACCAATACACATTTTAAGTGGTTAAAAAAAATAAAAAATAAAAAGAAATATCATTTTCCATAAAAAATGTTGAGCATTGCAACTAAAAGAGTAAAAAAAATTTTACGTTGCAATTTGCAGCATTGCCCGATTTATATTCAGTTAAACATATGTAGATATAATAATTTTAAAATATAAAAAGGATTTATTTTATCAAATCTAGATTAGTATTAGCTCTTTCAGTGTAGAGTTAATTAATTTGTTGTTTTTTCAACCGGTACAAATTTGAATTACTAATTTCTAAGTTATCTATATCGTAAATATGTATTTTTATTCCATTTCTCTTTTGGTGTTTATTGGGTTTGGGGAGATTTGAATTTGACCGGGCTCTTCTGACGCAGGTACACTGAGAAAAACAACAGCTCAAGTTATTTTGCTTTGAGTCAAGTTGTATTTTCATATTTATGATGCTCCGTCATTTCAGTAGATACAGGCATCAGACGGGACGGACAGGTGGGTGAACGAACGGAAAAGTATATGCTTTATTTTCACACAGGCTGGATAGCGGGGTTTGATTTATTAAAGTAAGAGAAGTATTAAAAAGGCGGAACCGAGATGGCCCGTTAAAATAGTCTAGTGTAGTTTGCAATATGTTGAGGACAGGTCACTGTGCATGTGCAGACAACGAGACATTCAGTGCGGTGACGATCTATTTTTCCATGTAGACGAGCCTCCCTCTCAGCTCTCGTCGGCTGACGACAATAGAAACTCCATGTTTTTCATGATTTTTAATCCAGAAGCATTTCATGTGAGTCTCTCGTATTGACTATTGTGATTAAAACTTGCATTAGTATATGAATACAGATACAATTGAAATTTCCCCTAAAACTGTTGCTTCCAGATAACTTGTTTTACACTCCATAATACGTTATCTCAGTCAAACAAAACAAAACTCCTTTGCTACGTTTTAGAAGATGGGGTTTGTGTTTCGCTTGACTAACTAGTTGATAACTAAACTAGTTGATCAAATCAAAGTCATAAATTGAATAGCCCAAAAACAGGTTTTTTGCAGAGACTACAAATGTGGACTACTGGATGGCACACATCCAGGAGTTAGCATATTTTTAGGCGAAATCTGCTATAACAATGTCGTCATGAATTGATGGGTAAAAACAGATGTAATATGCAGAATTTCGTTTCCGAAAATAACACCTTTTATTCAAATATTTTTCGATAATGATGACTTTTTGAGTTTGCTTCGTATCCAGGTTTGTTCCAGGTACACCAATGGATGTCTAAAATCAAATCAACCGTGGTGTCTGCCGCCGCCACCACCTTGGGCTTTAGCAAAAGCGTTGGCATTGGCTACGGCAGAAGCTCCTCCAGGGCCTTGAGCATTGGCATTGGCAATGGCATTGGCATTAGCCGAGGCAATACCACCGCCAGCGCCGCCATATCCACCTTGTCCAAATCCGTCACCACGGCCAGGGGCTGCGTGAACGGCAACCAGAGCGAGGAGCAGGAAAGCGCACAGAGCAAAGAACTTCATCGTTGGAGATTGCAATGATTTCTGAGAGATTCTCGGCCACTTTTATACAATTCCTGCATCCGTATGAATTAATAAAGACCTGTTTTTTATTAACTTCGCTTTTTATAACGCTTATTGCCTGATAATTTAGATGGACATGTTCCATTTAGCATATTAGTTAGATATATAGGAGAAATTGTTTGTGTGTGAATATTACACATACTAAAAGAGAAATAAATTAATGCAAATGCTGATTGACAGCTGACTTTCTGAATCTAAAATACAAAATCCATAGTGATATTATAATGCCTGAAATGCTTTTCTTCTGCTATATATATTATGAATATACAATTTTCCAATAGTTCCCAAACATAAAACGAGAAGGAACGTTGCGACGGTCTTCTGTGGACTCGACATTTATACCCGTACTCAGTCGTATAAATATTTGAACTTATGATTTATGCGGAATTTAAAAATATTTCAGATTTTTTTACTACATTGTTATCTACATCTTCAATATAGATACTACATCTACCATTTAGCTTTAGCTCTCCTCTGCTTGAGGGCGCACATGGGGGGCAATGTGTGCGAGCGAAAGAGATAATTAATAGCGCTGCTGTTCTGGAAGGGGGTGGGATGCTGAAACTGAAAACTAATCATTCATTATGGCTATAATAGTCCTATCTGGAACAGATTCAGCAATCTGATAGATATATCCATTCTCAACATGTCTCTCGCAACAAGCAAGACGGACAGACATACATATCTATATCCAACTCGACTATTGGTGCTGATCAAGAATATATATTCTCTATGGGGTCGGAAACGTTTCCTTTTCTGCGTTACACACATTGACTTTTGCCACAAATCACATATACCCCTTAAGTTATTGAGTACGGGTATAAAAACTGGTTTGCTGACTACTGGCTACCGGATAGAAGAAAGTCGATAGAGCTTAAAATTTTGTTGTCGTACCTTTGCCGAATTTTAGTAGGTCCAAATAGAACCTATTTATTCTACATACAAATCATTTAGTTATTCAAAATCAATAGACGTTAAAACATAACCCAAAAGAAAATTAAAAATTTAGATTCGCAAAAAATATTTTTTATTCAAATGTTACTCGTATTTCGATAATGCTTTACCAGTGGAGGCCCGTCCCGGAACGCGCCCACTTTTTGCAGTAGCTTCGTATCCAGGTCTGTTCCATGTCGATCCTTGAAAGCTCTCAATTTAACCGCGTCTTTTACTGCCATCGGCACCGCCCTGGGAAGTGGCAGCAGCGTTGGCAGTGGCAGAAGCGGCTCCATTTCCTGAGCTCACAGCCTGAGCATTAGCATTGGCAGTGGCTGAGGCACCACCACCCCCAGCACCTGCACTAGGACCACCACCATGACCAGGGGTAGCCTGGACGGCGATAAAAGCGAGGAGCAGGAAAGCGAACAGAGCTAAGAACTTCATCGTTGGAGCTGACAATGCTCACTGGGAGAAACGCAGTCCCTTATATACCAGGTAATGCCGGCATCCGCCAAAGGCTTGGCTAGACTAGTTTTCTAGATAATTTGATTAACTTTGTTTATTTCAAACTAATTAATTCATTAATGAATTCCAGGTTATAGTCTATGTGTGAGTGGTTCCGTTTAGCACATATATTAGCCATACAAACGTAAGAGCTGGTGTGCGGCTTGGAAACATACATATGTACAGGGCAGGCCCCCCCCCCCGCCCCGGCGCCCCCCCCCGCCCCGCCACCCGGCGGACGCCCCCCCCCCCCCGGCCCCCCCCCCCCGCCCCCGCCACGCCCCCCCGCCCCCCCCCCGGGGCTCCCCCGCCTAGGCGCCCCCCCGCCAACCCAACCCCCAGGCTAGAAAGTACAGCAAGGCGGGCCCCACAGCCGCCCGCGGGGTGGACGTGCCAACCGCCCCAACACCAGCAGGCCCCCCCACGCGTTTCCTGCCCCTGTACCCGCCCAACGCCCCATACCCCACCCACGACGGCGTAACAAGGGCCTGGTCTTGCCATCGCGCCCCCCGACCCCCCCCCCCGCCCCCCCCCCCCCCCCCCCTGGCCCCCCCCGGCCCTCGTGGCGGGCCCCGGCCCTCCCTTGGGACTGACAAGGTGTGTGGGACTACCAGAACACAACTGTACATGTGCTCATACATACATATGTACATTAGTCTTTCAGGAAAGACTTAAAGAAATTTTCTATTCAGTCAGCTGAATATTTTGGATTATATCGAACTATACAGAAGATGACGACAGAAGATGTGAAAACGATTTTTATTTATTATTTATTTATAAAATTGTATGCCAATATATATAAATCGTACGTTAAAATTTAATAGTTAAAGCCAGATCAACAAGACATTCTCTTCTGCCTGAAGATATTTATTTTATATTTATATCGTTTCAGGGCATAGTTTTGGGCTTCCTTGAAATTTGTATTCTCTAAAGTATGCTTTGCGGCAGCCAAAGTTTACTTTTGTCGAACTATTCATATGTGTATAAGATGTCTTTATATATATATATTATATTATATTATTATATTATTTAAATTATTAGCATAAAAATAGTAACTGTATGTCTCTTAGTTATCCGGATGTCCATAAGTGCAAATTTAATTTTTAATTTATCAATGGTTAATTTGAACTAAAAAGCTGAAAGTTTTTTTTTTCTGAATTTTGAAATGATTTTTATACCCGTACTTAAGGGGTATATTAGATTTGTGGTAAAAGTGGATGTGTGTAACGCAGAGAAGGAAACGTTTCCTATTGATCAGCATCAATAGCCGAGTCGATATAGCCGTGTCTGTCTGTCCGTCTTGTTGAGCGCCTAGATCTCAGAGACTATAGAAACTAGAGGAACCAAATTTTGTTTCCAGACTCATGTGATATCACACTGCTACAAGTGTATTTCAAAATTTCGCCCCGCCCCCTTCCGCCCCCACAAAGGACGAAAATCTGTGGCACCACAATTTTAAAGATACGCTAAAACTAAAAACGCAGTATCGTAGAGAATGACCATATCTACCAGATTGCCGAATCTGAATTAGATCGGATCATAATTATAGCCAAAATGAAGAAATTAATTTTCTGTTGGTTCTCCCGCCTACTTCAGCCAGAGACCCACTACTCATTCTCTTTCTCGCTCGCACACTCTGCCGCGTTCAGTGGGCGAGCAACCCCTAGCGGAGGAGATGTAAAATCTAAATGGTACATGTATAATCTATATGTATAATATACATTGTAGATGTCGATGTAGATAACAGATGTAGCAAAAAAATTTAATATGTAAATTTTTTTTTAAATTCTAAAAAATCATATGCTGAAAAAAGTATATGCTGACTGAGTACGGGTATAAGTAGAGTCGCGTCCCCAGAAGCGACTCACACGTTCCTTCTCGTTTTGAACAAAAAAGGTGAAAGTTTTTTTTTTCTACATTTCGAAATGATTTTTCCCATTTTCAATATGTATGTAAAAATGTAACAAATGAATGTACATATGTATATAGATACGTATGTACATCCCTATCCATCAAGAGGCTTTTATGATTAAGCTCTCTAACACTGACTAATCGGCAAGTATTATACACTCCAATGCACAGTCCCAAGTTCCAGGCAACTGGCTAAGCCAAAAAAAAAAACCAGACTTGCCAAAACCTTCAATCCGCATTCATTCGATAGATATGTATGTATGTATGTGCATACATGTGTATACTCGTAGGCTGCCCGCATTCAACATGCAGTTTAACGCCTGCTCAAGTTCAAATGGAAATTAGCGCGATGTGTTTATTTTATTGTCGATTGCTTTTAAATTTGAACGAGAGCAGCGTAGAGCCCATAGGCCACAGCGAACGTGAGAGTCATTGCTAAATCCCCAAGAGCCCTACACAGTTTAATAATTCGGCGAATCGGTATATGAATAATCAGTAAAGCGATTGCCGCCGGACAAGACTCAATCCGACCGAATGGCACAGACCAGTCTGCTTAGCTGGTCCACGTGTTCGCCCGCCCGTAGGTCCAGCCGACCATGCCGGAACATAAAACCACAAAAATGTATGACGACAGCTTTTGAGACGATTGCCGGTTTCCGAACGCAGGTGGGCAGCATTGTGATGGTGGGTTGCCGTTTGCTCTCTGTGTTGTTTTTAGGTTTCTTGGGTGCGCTGCCTTCACGATCTACAAAATGATTCATATACAATAGATTGCGATCGAAGAGTGCAAAGCGTATAAGAGAAACTGATCTGAACTGTTCTTAAATAACTCTTCAGACACCTTTCTTCACAATTGCCAACAACCAAAGTTTAAAGTTTAGGGTTTATGGTACAACTCTTTTTTGTGTGCTGTGCTAGCCCCGAATCCATGTCATCTACATACTCTCAGTGTAGTGCATCGAGGCCCAAATAGATTTCGTTGATTCAATATTATGTCATATGGGGATACAAAGCTAAAGTTGATTTGTGGATCAACAATGTGTAAAACGCAAACTAAGTTTTGTCTTTGTTGAATATCCAACGCAAACTCAAATGGAATATTGCTATTCATGTTTTATTTATAATTTGTAAAATCGTTTATCTCCAGCATTTCTCTTTTTCCCATTTAGCAGACCGTACACAATTTTGCACAATATTTTGTATCCGTATTTGCATTCCTCAATGCCAGTTTTTGTTGTATCTGTATTATGCTTCATTTCATTTCGGTTCGTTTAGTTTTTGGTTTATCACACTGTGCTTCGGTCAAGTGGGTGATATTTAAATGTTTGAATATTTAACTCGTTTAGAATATGAAATATGTCTAAAAGCAACTGGGTATCAATCGCTCATTCTTCTCCTCCCCGTTATGGCAAGCTGGCCTTGACAAGGCCACATTTTTGGTTTTAGAGCTTCAAGATCGATTCGTCCGCACCACCGAAGAGTACCCGTAGAGCACCTCCACGCCGTCGGAGTTGAAGATGCGCTCGACTCGAGGGGCACGCGTCTGAATGGGACGCGGCTCAGGAGTTGGAGAAACAGCATTGGGGGTTGTTGTGTCGCGGATGACGGTTGTTCTTGGAGCGAATGTAGCTGTGGTTGGAGCGCTCTTCGTTATGGGAATTCGGGTGGTGGTGGTTGTATGTACACTGGATCTCGGAACTTGTGTGGGCGGAATAGTAGTCTCTGGAGCTCGCGTGGTTGTTTCGGCGCTGCTAATGCTCGGAACGTTTGTGGTCGGGATGGTTGTCTCTGGGGCACGAGTGGTAGTCGGGAAGCTGGTGGTGGTCTCCAAGACATTTGGTGCAGTAGTATCTGGCTGAGCACCTAGAAGTATTGCGTGTTTGGTGGTTAGGAGTACAGGTGCAGGGCTTGTGGTAGTTCGAGGAGCATTCGTAGTGGTTTCGATAGTCTCAGTAGTGGTTTCGACCTGGGACTGGGTAATTGTTGAATGCGGCTCGGAACTCAGTTCTGTTGTCAGGCAGGGAAGATAAATAAGTTACTTTAGTTGTTTAATCATATGAAATGCTCTCATTGGGAACACATCAGTTACCTGTTGTCTCCTCTGTCGTGGCCGCTGTGCTGTATTCCTTGTCTTCTTGTACTGGAACCAGTGTGGTTAGCTCGATGGCAAATGCTTCGGTGTTGGCCAACCAAACGAGACCAGCCTCAGTCCGGGACTCTTCCACTTCTGGAAGTGTTCTGGGCGTCGCCACCAACTGTCCTTCACCTCCAAACAGTTGTGTGAGTGGCAACATTGTAGCTCCCATGGCTTCGAAATGATCTTCTTCGCTTTTGAGGGCTACGATCTCGTCCACCAAATTTGCGGTTCCGATTGTTGATAGCTTGTCTTGGAAGAAGCTATGAAGGTTCTTGCCCTTGGACGGCTCTGTGGTTGTTGTATTGGGCGGGGTCCCTAATGTGGTCTTATTAGTCGGCGTCTTGGTTTCTGTGATCCTTGGCTTTTCCGTTGTTGTCTCACTAATTTCTGTTGTCTGCGAGTCCGGCATCTCTGACTGGGCGGTCTGGGCTCGTTCTAACTCCAATTGAAGGACAACGGACTCTGGCAAGGGTTCCTCCGTAGTTCCAAACGGACTGTCGGTGGCCTCCGAGAATATCTCTCCCCGCGAATCGGTGGTTAGAATGAGGTCTACGTCAAAATCAATCGTAAAAGTCCCTGACTCAACGGGTGTAAGCGAGGATGACTCATCCTCTTCTTTGGATGGAGGAACAGTTGTCGTTACTGCTCTATCAGATGGGGACTCTCGTGCTGGGGCTGCCTGCGCGGCCGCTATCAGCAGCAGTATGGCAACCAGCGGCATGCGCGACATTTTCAATTCGATCGAAATGCTGAACGTCCGGAATGCGAGGCGAGGCGAGGCGACTGTTGGCTGGCAATGAATCGCGTCTATGAACTCGTCGATACGTTCACTTTGTCGCTTTGCCAAAACTTGCTCCTGTCTCAAAAGCTCTCTCTTTGTCTCTCTAAATATCTCTATCTCGGAACTGGTTCACTTGGGGCCATTGGCTTCCGCTCCACGCTGTTGTGACTAGTGTTGTTTGCGGTGAGGAACTAAACCGCTTGCAGCTTCGGCCGCAGCTTATAAGGCGGCGAGCAAAAGCACCCATTTGAAAACTGTTCCCGGCCCAGTACGGCCATGTCTTCGCTCTGAGCACTTAGTTTCTCAGCTGCGTTGCCAACTGTTTTTCATCCGCGGCGGCGGCTGTTTTGACGCGGCCCGAACTTGACGTGGAGTGCAGGTGAGTGAGGTAAGGCTTGGCGCACTTGGCCCAGAAACATCTTTTAAATGGCACTTCCCCCTCTCCAGTTCAATTTCACTTTCAGCGCGCTCACCTGTGCTCACCCCTGATCCGAGTATTGATCGTTGTCTTCGACAGTGCCATTTCTGTATTTCACAGAGCGCCAAACCGGCTTTCTGGTATGCCAATTAATTCGTTACAACTCGGCGGCCTCTCATAATTCGCGGTTATCCAACTATTTTTTTTTGTCAAAACGCTATTAGAGTGTCTCTATGGTGGTAAAAATGTTCTATCAGAATCAACCACAAATCCTCTTTGAACGACAATTCTGATTGCGGACGTTTTCTTGCCCTGATTATGGGTTGAACGATCGCTTTGAAATGAGCCTAGCAATAATTGAATGGAAAATAGGAGGCAATAATGAGGTATTTAACCAGTCCAGACCTTGGCAGTCGTGCCATACATGCTGTGACACTATACTACCCGCTACTCAAATTCTTTCTTGTGTTTTATGTAACTTAAACAATATATTCCTGCACTCTGTGTATCATTTTTTCCTATTAGAACTATATTCTATCAGTATCAATACTGCTACGTGCTTAAATCTCTTCCTGTAGAAGAACTGTAGAGCAATTTAATATAGCCCTGTGCTCTTTAAGTACCGTGTGTATGTTCTATAATCGTATACAAACCAAAAAGTAACTCAAAACGAGAAGGAACGTGTGAGTCGCTTCTGGGGACGCAACTCTACTTTTATACCCGTAATCAGTTAGTATAATTATTTTTGAGCTTATGATTTATGTAGAATTTAAAAATTTTAGATTTTTTTTGCTAACATGTAGATTATACATGTACCATTTAGATTCTTCATCTTCTCCGCTAGCGGGCATTCGCGCACTGAACGCGGCTGAGTGTGCGAGCGAGAAAGAGAATGAGTAGCGGTTCTCTTGCTGGAGGAGTTGGGGAAGAAATTGAAAATTAATTTCTTCATTCTGGCTATAATTATGATCCGATCTGATCCAGATTCGGGAATCTTGTGGATATAGTTATTCCCTAACATACTGTGCTTCCTCGTATCTTCAAAAATTTGGTTGCCACAGACAACCCCTTCAACCACTATACTCAATCAGAAAATTCACTGTATCTAATGATGCGTTTTCCTGTAACATTTCATTGAGAATTGTAATCTGTTTCCATAAGTTCATCTTATCTTTTCGTTGCGTTGACCGGAGAACTATAAACTAAATGACTCTCCTCCGAAACTTTGACCTCGCCAATTGATTCATAACAGTTTCGACCAAAAGCCATTCCACATCCCATTGCCAGGAAGAACTTTCATAATTAGCTCTTATCGAACTAGAAAACTGACCACAAAAGCCTCAGCCCGTGGCAAACTTGAACAACAACAGAAAGATAGCCGTAAAGATATTTTTGTGTCAACTCGACAGAAACGACTTGTGGACATGGCCAACCAACAAAACGATAACTATGGGTAGAACTACGAGTAGCAATAACAATGAACTGGGAGCTATTGAGATACATTTGAGCTGCGGGGTTTGCCGAGCTCAGCGGAAAGTATTTGGCTGGGAAATCAGTAAACGACCCTAACCAGAGTCGTAGGCGTGGTCAATGCAATATGATTTATTTAATGAACGGTTTTTGTCCTACTTTGCCGATTGTCAGGGCAACCTCGAGCTCGTGGGATACCCAGAGAACACCTTTAGTAAACTTCAATAACATCATTAAGACAAGAGCATAGCTCGAAGATGAGAAAGTTCATAGGGATGGAAAGGAAGTGGCGATGGCACTCACTTAGATTGTGCTCCTGCCGTCAGGGGCCGGACACAAAGGGCACTTGGCAGGCGGCCTACATAAATATGACTTATAAAAAGCTCTCGGAAGAGACTTTTTGGCAAGCAAATTAGTTTGCCCAACTGATGACGGAGGAGACTGTCCCTTACCCGCCAAAAAAACTTTTAGCACTTTGTTGGAATATTTATGCAGATCTTCTCAGCGGATGAAGGATGTGGTGAGATGACTGGAAAATTGAATAGACAGACAGCGCTGGCTACTAGTTCGATTGTAAACAAAGTATTAACCCTTGGTATTCTTTGGTATTCCATGAGAAATATTATCACGGAAATATCGTGAAAATATTATTAAAGTAAAATCAATGCTGGCCGCATTTCAATTTACTAACGAGAAATATAATTTAAATGCAGAATAAAATGAGCTTCCTTCCTGATCCGAATGGGGAAACTGTGGGCTCAAGTCCTAATGCTTTGGGAACCATTAGGATAACATTTCGAATGCAAATTTTGTTTCCAACAGATGTAATTTCCAGTATACAGCTGCCCCGGGGCTTTGAAGTGGCGCCAGTTGCAAATTGTGCAGGGGGCGAGGCACTTTGTTGCTTAACGATTATGCCTCTTTCAATGGCTCCTGATGATAATGTTTATTTCTAAATTACTTCGAATGGAAATGAGAAATTCGATTGATGGGAGAGGAAAATCAATCAATGAGATGATGGCATATCGAACTGAAGTTAAGAATTGCAAATTTATGTAACTTGTGCGTACATGCATTATGAAGTTCAACATTTTTAAACTTCGTAGTCTATAAGCTCTTCAGAACTTGTTATCTTGCATGATGGCAGCTCCCGAAGTCGTCGAGTAACTTTCAATGGCTCTTCAGATCTCACAATGGTTTGTAAGGAACTTGAAACTCTGCAACTCTGTTTATTTTATAATTTCAGCTGCGGCCAAGAGTTTATTTTGCCATTGTTTAAAAAGAAACAATAGAAGTCAGCAACTCGAAGTGGAGAAAACGAGACAAGCATTGTAATTGTATTAAAAAATAATTATTTTACAAATGGGAAATTGCGGAAAAAATTGCATTGTCTTTTCCCGGTGCTGGGGATTCAATTATCGAATCACAACGCATAAATATCGGGGATTGGCGAGTGCCTTCCATCTGTACACTGTATGTATTTGTGGCTGTATATTTATTAATCCTTATTTGAAAGGCTTCACTTTATTGTAGGAAATTTTAATGTCGGCTGTATATTTATTTAAGCTTCTCCCATTTGAATACCATGTAAATTTCCCTGACAGAAGGCGGACGATCTAGTTCGCCACCTTATGGAGTGGTAAATATGTATATTTAACCAGAATGGGAGGTACATCTTTAACCTGCTCATATAGCTATTCATTTTTAAGAGATGTGTGTCCATTTGAATTTCATTAAAAGTGGTTCACATTAAAGGGATGTAAGCGGTAGCTCGCTGAGCAAAAGTTTCTCTCTGCAACAAGAATAAGTTGATTTAATAAATTATGATATGTTGCTACTCGAGTGTGTGTGTGTGTGTTTGTGTGTGTGAGTGTTTGTGTGTGCATCCCTGGCGCTAATGACAGCCTCTGAAGGAGCCCTACAATATCATTATAAGCCAAAACTAAATCAACAGCAACTAGAGGACACGACAAAAACTACCAAAGAGCTATGAGCAGCAGGAAAAGGAGGGAGAGTGGGACCTAATAGTAGATGCTGAGGCAGGAGCCACTAATTGACTCTAATTATTTTGTTGTAGTAAATGTCTTGTTTACACAGGGAATACAGAGGAAAATATATGTAGAGACAGTCAGGGGGAGAGAGATTGCCTTAGTGGGCGGTACACTGAAAATTCGAAGTCACTTGTTCTCCCTTGCAAGGCAAATGAACAGCAGCAAAAATAATGTAACAAATACTTTGTCAAGATACTCGACTTTTAGATACCTGTTACTTATAAGCTCTAATTTAATTTATGTTTTATCGTATGTTTGGAAGGTATGGGTATTTTTCCTACCAACACCAATCATTTTTTAATCGGGATTTTAGTATTTTTATATGAACTATTATCCTATATAAAAAACTAAACATAACCAAGTATGCTTTGGTCTATTTGTTTGTATGTATTGCGTGTTTTGTGACTGTGAAATCTTTACATGCCAACATTCATCAATAAATTTCTGTGTGTATTAGAGGGAAAAATGACAGCTAGATGCAAGGGGCCCATTAGGAAATCCCGAAAACAAGCGCGTCGGTTCGTAAATGGTTGAAAACGCACACATCGAGCATTTGCATCCGCATCGTTCCTTCGTCTCGCATTTGAGTACGAGCCAAAAATGGAATATTCCGCTCATCCGAAAGTTCTGATTCGAGCAACAGAAATCAGATGCTATTTGCTGCGCATCAAGAAAAGTACAACAACCTGAAACTGAGACATCAATAACAATAACAACAATAACAGAAAATTGGCTGAGCGGGACTTGCCGACAAGCGGTTTGAAAGCCGAACTGCAAATACGATTGAAATCAACAATGGAGATAGCTGGTTGTAAAGTGGAGGACCACAAATGCTTGGATGAGCTTATTTTCCTATTAGATTGACATTCGCAATGACCGGCACTACTCTATTCTCGAGAGACCTTTGTTGTGTATTGTTTCGTGTACATTTATTTGGAAATAATAGCCTCTAGTTATGAAAAACTTGACGATCCTTTTCCTTTAAGATTACTGGGTATTACGGCAGCTAACAGATGGTGAACAAAAGAGCGAGAGGGAGAGACTGTCAAAGTTAGTTAAAAGCAAAGTGCAAACATGTGCGCTTCGTAGCTTAGTTGGATGCAAGAAGTCCCAGCTACCCAAACTCCCAAGTTCTATATGGTGGAACTTTAATTAAAGTTGAATTTGTGTCAGTTGTGCGCCTGCAACTGCGGTTGCCTGTTTTGTTTTTCCCCGTTCGTGCTGATGCTTCTGGCATCGGTGACAAGGATAAGCGAGTGAGGACAACCTTCCATATACATGGAAGATGCCGGTGGAAAGGTCTTTAAATTGTGTCTTAATATATCTACTAGAGTTAATGATTTTCCAATCGATTCTCTACTGTTCAGTCAGGGGATAAAAAATAAGTAATCTAACGGTTCAATTTCGATTGAAGAGTGGGAACAATTTTGGTTCACAGAAGCCGTTTTCAGATACAAAAAAGCAGGGAGCAGAGTCAGCCCAGAGGTAATATCACCTGAAAGTCGAAACTTTTATGCAGGCATTGCTATTGCTGCTGTCATTCCCGCCTCCCAAACAGCCATTGCTTCCTGTTTGTGTTTGGTTGTTTATTCAGCAACAGTAAGAGCTGAAAGTTTGCTTACAGTTGGTCCTCCGCGGAGCTGGAATCTGCTCTTCCCTTCCCGCTTCATTGCTTCTGTCACCAGTCGCAAGACGCCAACCAACGACAAATAAAGGCAATTCGTTGGGCACGCGGCTCAAACTTTTCGCTGGAAATGCACAAATGCGGTTCTGAAGGCTTCGCGACGGGGAAGGCGCCGGATCCTGCACCTTGCCTCTGGCTCCTGCAGCATCAGCTCCGCCCTTTCCCACCTCCTACTGCGGATACAATTTGCCTCGCTTCCCATCGAAAGGAGTTGCGTTTTAAGTTGAAATTAAGCGTTTTCGCTGTTTGCTACAACTTTTCTTCCATTCTCCCCCCATTCACCATCCGAGGCCACTAGAGTCCAATGAATTCATTGTGGTTTTATCCAGGTCTGCCTTAAAAAAATGTATTGCCTGACTGAGTATAGCTAGAATGGTCAAGACAAATTTTTGGTAGCAGAGTACTGAAAAGCATTAACTTCGGTACGCCAAAGTTTACATACCCTGTCCATTGAAGAAAGGTGCATATCGTTCAGATATCTAAGGACTGAGATAATTTTCATGATGATCAATAGTGTGTGTCTCGGAAATTTATGCGCTTCTGTGCGGTAAGAAGTTCTCAACATCTCTAGAGAACTCTTTTGGTCCCTTAATAAACATATGATTTTAATTTACGAAGACAATAAATATATAACTACGTTTCCACTAAGTTAAAGATACACCTTACCTCGTATGAAGCGAAGAGTAGAATGTAATGTTAAAGCTTGGTTCGCTTTCGATCGTCCTGGAAATAGTTTGAATACTTACGGAAATGCCTTCTCACTGTGAACATAAAAGGAGAGCACATGTATGAAACTGTTTAGCTGACTGTTAGTTTATTTAAGTATTAAGTAGTATTTTTTAATCGTGTTCCGTCTCATATGTACATATATGTGCATGCATCCAAGATCTACATTTGAAATACTGCAGTATTTTATACATGTACACAACCACATTACATTTTGACATTTTTATTTTGCAGCTTAAAAGTGTGCATCACTTTTTTGTTGTTCAACTGAAAAGTGTAAAAAACTTTCCGTTAAAATTAAATTTGTGACTGTTGCCGACTTTATCATATTTCTGATATACATATCACAAATATTATACATTTCGATAGCAAATAAAAACCAAATGTAATTTTTTTAACAGGTTAAAGTTTCGCTGTAGATACTAGATTTGTATATTCCAGTTTATTTTCTCTTTAGAATAATGGTGCTGTTTATTTTATTACCATATGTATGCAAAGGGAAAAAGGAAAAAAAGAAATTTTCGTATAGACGGCGCTATTTAATGAATTATCGTTTTTTTATAGTTAAGGTTTCTTTTTATTTTTTTATTTTGTATGTTTTTTCAGAGGTAATTTTCGATATTAAAGAACTCAGAAAAATTGGTTTCTTTCCAGGAAAAGAGGAGTCTAATATGCTCGATGGACGTTTGGACGTTCAAATTCTTTCCTTTGTGTCTACTAACGCCCAAATCACCTATACAAAAATTATGTTAAATGTACACCACAGGTTCAATCGAAGATAACAAGATTCATATTTCAAATGCGGTTTAAATGCTATAATATGCCATCCTTAATATGCCTTATCATTAAATAAAACCTGTCCTATAAATATTTTGTTTCTTTGGATATTGACGCACCATCAAGTGACACTGCCGCATATCGCGCGAAATGTATTACCGAACCGGGGTCTGATCAAGTCATAAATAACTAAACTAAAAGAGCTAATCATGCATATATGTACATTATTAATATTAATGCCATTACGAAAAGGTATATTGGCATAATTGTTTTCGAAGAGGAAGGGTATATTATTTTGAGATCATTTAATGTGATACAGCGAATCAAAGCCCGGTCAAGCGGGAGGAACAGCTAGCTCTAAAGTGCCCCGAGTATTTCCACAATAATCCGATTTAATCCGATTTTCTTAAAAAATTCTCCAGTTCTCTTAAAATATTTTTTATTATTTAGCATAAACATACGTTTCGACTTGCTCATAAATTTGTACACATAAATTAAAGTATTAAGGGTAGCAAAGAAAATGGGATGCACAATCGTGATGTAAATTAATCTGGACCAAAAATGTGGATACAAATTTACAGCATTCGAGTCGGTACATGGGGATTCAGGTTCCGTTCATTGGGTGATTGGGAATGAAGTAGCGCCTAGGCTGGGCGTGCCTGAGTGGATGGATTGGGGTCCATGCGGTCGTGGACAGAGAAGGTGCGATTGGAGCGTAAATTGTTAAAATGTCATCACAGTCATATGAAATTGGAGCGAGAGAGAATGCTGCTGCTTGCCGTCAAACTCACGCGTACAGTTCCGATGTGGTGCTGACCTCCAGCACGTCCTCCACGGATGTGGTCGTGACCGGGGTAGTTGTGGCTGTGGCTGTGGCTGCTGTCGTCGGTGCGGGGTCTGTTACACTCGCGATCAGTTCCATGCCAAGGCCGTGGGGGAGGTGAACGTTGGGTGGAAGCTGCGACATCTGGATTTGAATTTGGTTCTGCAGTTGATGCCGTTGCAGCTGCATGGCCAAAAAGCTGGCCAGATTGGCCGTCAGCTTTGCCTTGTGATTCTCCACGCGCCGGATGTTCCTTACTAGGCGATTGTAGACCAACGGCTTAACGTCGATGGCCCACAAAAAGTCCAGATGGTTAAAGCGCTCCATGGGCACCAGGTACTTGTCGATCACGTTGGGCAGCTCCCTGGCCAGGCGGTCCACCCCTGTGGTGGACACCAGTAGATCGTTCACCGAATAGTAGAGGGCCACTGGAACCTTAACCCTCGACAGGTCATAGTCCGGCGGCGTGACCCGGTTGTACTCTAACTGGTTTCTCAGGTAGCCACGGTCGAACTTGCGGAAGTGCCCGGACTTCATCAGTTGGCCAAAGTGCTCCAGCTGCTTGATAGAGGCTCCCGAGGGCGTGTGGCTCAGCATCACGGGTAGCATGGTCTGCAGGAATAGAGGGAGAGAGTAGAGCGATGCAGTTTGAAATTCCACAAAACAGTGTCCAACCCCATTCAACGTTTAGAATCGACCCCACACACCTGTCCAAAACACAATGCTACACGGCCTAGTCCATGTTAGCCATGGCAATATGGGCGGTTGCGATGGGATATGTTTTCGGTTCATGTTGGGCCAGAGAATCGCGCCTAATTTGCATGCATTGTCGCTTGTTGTCGGGTCTCCAGCTTCGCTTCCAGAGTGCCGGTTAATTATGCCAATTGCCAGCAACGCCAGCGAAAACAACAAGAGGAGCCCAACCCTCTGGGCGGGCACTGACATAATAGATAATGACACCCCTTCAATGGCAGATCCCGGGTCAGGGAAACCCACCCATATTCTCCCCCACATAATGCTCGAATGATGTTCAATTTCAGCCCCATTTCAGCCTCTGTGGGCCATAATTTGCAATCTGCGGGCGTTTAACTTGCGGTCGATTAACGGGCAAGTTTTGCCAGGGAGTGAGATATATTTAATGCAAACATCGGGGCTGCATGGGGAATTAAGATAGTGGCACGTACATACATACATATGTACTAGGCGCGACCTGTGCCTAATTGCATGCGAGAATAGTTGTTTTTGTCTATTATGACTTTGGTTTGAATGAAATGTAAATAAAATAAAAAAAATTATTTTACTGATAACAGAGACCAATGAGCCTTGACTGAATCAAGCAAATAAGGCTAATATATCTTCAAATAAATAGATATGTAGAACTAAAAATAGTGTCGCAGTTTTAAACAAAAGCAAGAAATAGGATTGTGGATTGAAATTGAATATTAGGAAATGACTTTATATTCTTGTGCTAAGCTCTAATAACACCCATTTTCTGTTTACCCTCGAATGAGACGTTTGCTGAAAACCCGTCCAGATTCTTCACTAAAAATGCTGAAAAGCAATGTAGGACCACCCACACCGAAGCACACACGAACTATCAAAATCGACCGACAATCTAACTGAGGCGGTTAATTAAGTGCCAACTTAATGAAGACAATCTCCCGGAATGCCAGCGGACGTCGATTCCGGGACCAAAACCGATGCCCCTCATTACCGCATGGGGAGTCCCGCGAAAATGTTTCCGACACACAGCCGGAAACCCGATTCCCGAATCCCTCCATCGCCGTCCCGGCACTCACTTTGTTAAGCTGCTCTGAGTTGTAGCCGGCCACCAGAAATAGGATATTGGAGCAGACGTCCTGCGTCATGGCATTGTCGTGGCAAACAACCTGACTGTGGTCCACTAGGAATTTTGTGTTGGGCATGAATTCCGTTATGCGCAGCATTCGTGTGGCGGCCTGACCGAAAACAAAAGAGTAAGAGCGAATAAAATGGGAAATGGAAGATGGAGCTATCGAACGAACCGGCGAGCGATTGGCACTTACTGTTAGAAAGTCGAGAAAGAGAACCAGGGTCCGGAAGAGGGGACTCTTCATGTCGTGGATGTAGGCAATGGGGGCTAGCGCGTGCATCGAGGTAATTTTCTGAGTGTACGAGGGCTGCTCCGAGCAGAGCACCCAGAAGATGGCCGTGCCCTGGGAATGCCCGACGTAGTGCAGCTGCTCGTAGCCCGTCTTGCTCAGTATGTAGTCGATGTTCGCCGGGAGATCGTACTTTCCCATCTCGTGGAAGGTGAAGTCCCAGAACTCCTGGTAGTCGCTATTAAGACTGGTGTGGTTCTTCGAGTACCGGTTGCCCCGTGAGTTGCCCATCCAGACGTCGTAGCCCAGGTCGGAGAGCATGTAACCTGGATAGGATAAAGGGTTTGAAACCATTAGTTCTGTGTGGATGCTGCCGTATCTATATGGGATGAAAAGAGCATAAGGGTCTTGAGGGCAGATCCCCTCATAATGCTTCACTCACCCAATCCCGATTTGGGGCCCATGAGAACCCACGTAGCCGAAGTGTCTAGTATGCCGTGCATCAGCAGCACTGGCTGGGCGCCTTTCTTTGGAATGCGGTGCATTTCCAGGATATAGCCATCCTTGGTTACCACGGTGTGTGTCTCCGATGGATAGCCATATTTGCGTATTAATTTGGGCTGACCGGAGAGAAAAAACGGGAAGGAAAGGTGTTAGAAGTGCAAATCATGGAAGTGTGAAATTGAGTTGCCTCTGACCAGGTTTTTACACCTGCCCTTTCCGCTCGTGTCCCTCTTTCTCTTTTTTGCAGCTTCCATTTGCATAGTTTGGTGGAGAGGTTCAACCCCCAGGCCCCAGCACCAGCACCAGCATCATCGTCATCACCAGCGTGCTATTCGTCTGGCCTTAACCACAGTCATTTTCAGCTAATGAATTTTAATTTGCGGCATCAACAAGTTAATAAAGTCCCAGCTAGGAGTTGGCATGACTGCAGAAAGACTGGGTAGATTGAAAGGCTGGCAAGGTGCAGACGGGCTGTGGAGGAACCACTAGGTAGCTCCGCAGTGTAGAGTCTATGGAAATTTCTTGGTAACTTGCTTTCAAGGAATTTTGCAGTGCCGTTCCCCTGGCTAAATTCCGTAGATACATATATCCACAACTATTTTAATTGTCGGCGTATGACGGAGCAGTCGTCAGAGCCATATAGAATTTCTTTATTGACACCGCATAAAACAAAGCTCTAGCTCTATAAAGCACGATGCTCATGGGGGATTCTCTAAGGGAATCGAATCTGATGTGACGCAGTCACACTAGCCACGAGCTGTCCATCCTCGGGTCACTCTATAAGTACCGCTCCATAGCTCAGCCTAGTCACGTATCACGCATACGCACTCTATGACAACATATTTTTCTTCCTGCTCGTGGAGATTTATAGATATATTTGAGAAATCCGTGATATTTTTGATAAGTTCGGCTCTTTGGGAGTTTACTTATGTAAGTGGCGCGGGTAGTAGGTGGCCGAATAAAAAACTTATAATACAATTGTTGAAATTAAGCTATAAACACGCGATTACACAAAATTGAAAAGAAAAAAACAAATGAATGAAAAGATACTGAAATGAGACTCTCTGGGAGCTGGCTGGAATTTTAATTAACCTTGGCAGCGAATGACCAGCACCAGTAGCAGCAGAAGCAACAACAACAAAATAATACTCGTATCAACATTGCAATTGGCCAACTGACTTGCCGGCTGGTTGGACAACATGAGGAAGTGGTACCCAAAGTAAGCCAGTGAAATACTTTTCCTACTCTTTCGGTTTTGTTTTGGTTCGAGTGGATTTTGGCAAATGTTTAGGCATAAATTTTGTTTCTTTTTCGGCAGTTTCCTTGGCTCTTGTCTTATATAATTTCTTTGTTTGAATAGTGGCTTAAAAAGAATGAACGCGCGAACGAGGTGCGAAGAAGCAGCCGCAGAAAGCAGCTTGGACAAGCCGCGAAAAATTGCAACAGCTGTTGAGGTTGTCGTTGCTATCGCTCTGGCCTGGTGAGGTTTTGTTTTTCTTGGCTTGACACACTTTGCGCCTCATCTGGCAAATATTGGCCCAAGAGCCGGAGAAGCGTTGCACAGAGGCGAAAAGTGCAACAGAGTGCCGCCATCAGGGGTCTCTCCGGGCTGTCAGTATTGGGAAACCGCCAAATGTTTGGAAACCTCTGCGGTAATAATAAATTAAGCAATGTTTTTATCTCTTGTCAGGGAATACACTTATGGTTTTACATAAACAATTAAAGTTACAGCTTTCTTTATATGTATATATTTTAGCACTGCAATTAGCTGAAATAAAATTGATTGTGGCCTAGATGTGGCCATGGCTATAAAGTCGAGTTAAACTGTACTTAAGGCTCTACGGTGGCGTACATACACATACATACAGACATACATGTACATAGGCAGATGCATAACTTTGTCCTAGAAATAGGTTACAGAGAAAACAGTATTAGTATCGATTGTTTGATGATTAACAATTCGCCTAAAATCAAAATTACCTATATGATTTATATCCACTCATATAGAATCGTAGTTAATTCATTTGTCAACACATTGATAAAAAAAAAAGAAGACGACAAAAAACTCACCGTCACTGCTCAAATACTGAAATGTTTGTTTTAACGCCAATTGAAACATAAGGCAACAAGGCAAACACACAGTACTCGTAAATAAATCAAGCAAATTGCGAGGTAAAAACGGGCTCGCAAAAGTTGGAAAACCATAATTAAATTCCAAGCCTCAGAGAAATAGAGAGATAGGTAAATGTCGGACCCTGCGGTCTGCGACTTGGACCAATGTGAAAATAAAAATGAATTGTGGCTGTCAGTTGATTTTCGGTCTCGTTTCTCATTTTCTGTCTGACCGCAATATGTTTTTTGTGCGATGTGTGCTTACTGTTTCACTAACTGAACTTTTTCGTTTGGCTCACAGCCACAGAAACTTCATTAGCACCTACACCATACACCATACACCAGTAGCACAGCACCGACTCGGATCTCGATTACCATAATGCTCATCATGACCTACTAAATTTGTGTTTGGCTGCCGATGGTTTGTATCCACGCTAATTGGCAAGGGAGCGTGCGTGTGCATCCACAGTGATCATCGCCTATATGTTAACTTCCCATTTACTTCTACGTATATAAGCCATAGTTGGAGTACTTCTATTTTTAATCCCATTTGCTAGTGAATATCTAATAGATTTATGAACTCACAGGTAACTTTATTAAACTCTATCAACTAGCTTTAATTTATTGGTAGTCTTACGTGGATCTATAGCCTTTGGCGTACCGAAGCCAGCTTCCCTACTGCCTGATCCAGATCATTAGTGTGCACACCTATGTGCATACATATGTATTTACATATTTGGATACCAGAATCTGTTGTTAAATCTTTTGACAAGTGCAATTAAACAATTTATACTCTGTTCTCAACACTCGAAACACTCTTTGGAGCTCATCTTTCCCCCAATTTGCAATCTGAGACTTTATCTCCACTTGTTCAAGTTACCAATAGACTGCTACTTCACTGCTATACTTAAACAAGGTTTCACTTAGCCGAAACTTGCTGTATGCGGAGTGTTACAGGTCCGTTGGGTGTGGATTTACTTCAATGCTTTTTTTTTCGCTGTGTATTTTTCGTTTGAAATATCAATGCAAATTTTTAGTGTCAACGTCTGCCGGTTATGTTTAGTGGCTGTAAGACGTGCCTTTGATTCATTTGCATAAAACACTTTTGCTCGTCGAACTTGAGGGCGCTTGTCAGCGCTTTCGATTCCGGAGGAGACCAGACCAAAGCCCGAAACCACTTTTGTTTTCGTTGGACGGATGGACTTCAGAGTCCATCTCCACTTGTGCACATCGCTCATTTTGTAACTGACCTTGATATTGACTTCTCTCTGCCAGTCTTTTAACACTGTCATTATAAGACTGAGCTCGAAACGACTCGATGTCTAACCAGTTTCCCCACCAATTTGGTGTCAAGTCTTTTGCTGGATCTTTTATGTACCTCTGGCTCTCTTGTCTTAATAGTATAGATTTATTTATGATTGGCGTTGGCCGCTCGTTGTCCGCTTCATTGTGCCGACTGACATCATTTTGATGACATCGTATTATATACTAGGAGGTTAATCACATTTGAACTTTTCTTTCGAGCTGCTGATCATTTGGAGCACTGCCTTATAATATATGCAAACCTTTTGGATCACTAATGGCTTTTATGCGCATTCTAATAACTGATTGATTAGGATTAACAGTCGATACACTTTTCCAATCATTTAAAGCGTCTTAATTGATATCTTTAGTTTGAACTTGGCTCCCTTTCTGTACTATCGAATATATCACCAAATCATTAACCCACTGTCTCATTTATGTTTCTGTTTCTGTTTGTGCCCGCAACATTGCTGCTGGATGTAAAGGCCCCCTAAAGAAGGGTTTGTTACATTCTCGTTAGAACGTTTAACCTCATATGGCACACAAATATGTAAACTATTTTAAGAATTCGGTCGGGCATGGAGATCTTTTTCTACATGTGTATATGATTCAACACTTTGAAATATTTTCCAATACATTTTCGATCAGCGTTACAACACTTTCGTTTTGCAATCAGGTTAAACGACATCAATTTGAAAAACCTTGGCGTGTCGGGCCAAAAAGGAAAACAACGCGGAAATCTTTAAATTCAAATTAAGGCAAAAACGAAAATGTTTTCTTTTGCCAAAACAAAGGAGGAAAACCCAGATCCATGCCGAGCCAAATGACAAAACTATTTCCTTATTATGGCCAGTCCCAGAGTCTTTATTCGGCGACATCTGAGGGTGTGCGGCAGCAGAAGCCAGCGCCGGAGACTGCTAACCCATATTTCAAAGTCAGTCAAGTGGCATACGCGTGGACGTGGACCTGCGCCTGGACGTGGACGTGGACAGGTTAGCCTAATTGCGGACTGATGATTGTGTAGCGTTGACAATTTCAATTTGTTATTGTGCTCCATGAAAGGTGTCTCCCACCATACGTACACAATGTGAACCTGGCCATCTCCCTCGCCCGCCGATTATGCAACTGGCAACGTGCAGAAATTGCCAAGGAGCCCTGGTGCTTTATTCAAACTCCGACATTACAGTGATTACAGTGCAGACACGCGCCTGTGGACGCGTTTGTAAGCCCAGCAATGACTTTGCATAAGATCCACTTGGCCATATCTAAAGTACGTACTGGGCGTACTGACAGTTCGGTGACAATAGTTTTGGGTCTGCATAACAACAACGAATCACGTAGATTCGATAAAATCGTTACGTTATCATTTCTCTGCACACACTCGTGCAGAGTGTAGACACTTGTCAATAAGTAATACGAGCATCTTTGCCGGGGCCTTGGTTTATTGGCTCTGCTCATTTTCGCCTATCTGTTTGTTGACCCCACCCTACAGACACGGTTATCGCATTCGCAGCTGTGAGAGTTACTCAAATGATTTCTGTCCTCACTGGACATCAGCTTGGTTAACCTTGGGAAATGCTGGGTAGCCTCCAAGAAAATTGCTGCTGGCCTGCCATAATGTGAAATTTAATGTGAACGATAACTGAATGAAAATGTAATCCAATTGTGGAGCACGTGAATGGGGTAAATGAGCTCAAGGTCAGTGCGGCCACCAGTTGCTTATTGAATCTAAGATCACTAGCATTCAATGAACGTGGAGGTTACACTTCTATTTTGTAACAATTCTCCTACGTGACGAAATATAGTGCTTATATTTGAGTTGTGAATTAGTTTAGAGTACAAGTTGAGGGAAATTTAATCATAAAATAGATTACTTTCAGACGAAAAGTCTTTTATCTTAGTCCGAACTTCACCAACTATCAATGTACGTACATCCAACTATTATATCATATTAATTATCTACAAATTGTAACGATTCCGTAAGCTACGTACTACGCTAGGTCAATCTTTAAAGTAATTACGCCAAGAGCACTCTCTACCTTTCTCTTGGTGCACGGGAACTGCAGCGGATCATGTGAGCCCACCGTTATAAGGTGGCCATGGCCCCCCGCCCTTACCAGACCGAATTAAACTGTAAATAGTTCTCCCCGCTTCATGTGAGTGTGAGAGGCAGCGAACCCGGAGAACGGGAACTTTCTTTCGACTCGGCAGTGTAAATTTATTTGACATACAAAAATTGTCCAGCCCAAAAAAATAAAAGAAGCAAACCGTTAAATGCCGCGAAAAAAAAACAATAACAAAGAAAACGAGACCAAAAACAAATGTCAATGGCAGAGAGGAGGTGGGTGATGGAAGCCAACCGGAGAGGCCTACGGAATGGAAATTGTTCCCGCTAACTTACCGTTATGAGGGATGCGTCCTCGAGCACGTCGGACTTGAGGTTCCTGCCCCCACCGGCCAGGTTTGCGTTGCTCGAAAGAAGCACCGAGTTCAGGAGGTTCTTGAAGCTCAGCGAGCTATAGCTGAAGGGCGAGAGGAGGGTGAAGGCACCGGCCCTACCGCAGACCTGCAGGGCCACCAGGCAATGCAAGAGCAAGGCCACCAGCAGGCGGCCGCAAGCAAAGTCGCTTGCCCGCATTGCAGAGGGGGGGTGGGAGTTAGGGGTCCAGTGGCACTCGCAAATCGAAGTCACAATGCTCTCGCACTCACAACTGACACTCGCGCTCAGACACTCGAAATGGGGCAAATTAGCCAATGCAGCAAGCACCGGGGCTTGCACCCAAGCGTAACGGTTACGTCGCGACTATCTCTATCTCTAGCTCTAGCTCTAGCTCTCTCCCGCTTTCGTCACAGATCGACTTGCTAGCTGTTACGTGTTTGTGTCTGGCCACTCGGGTTGTCTATGTATCCTTTTGGTTAATCCAATCTGGGCCAATTTCGCACTTCAGCACAGTATTCGCAGCTGATTATTGTGTATTCCGGAGGGTATTCAGCCGGGTCTCAATATTTATTGTCTTATGGAGATTTATTTATCAGTCGAATGGAGCTTTGCCTGCCAATCGGGAGTGTGTACTCTCCGCAAAACTTGCACTTGCTTAAACTACACTTTCTGGTTAATTTGCTCTGGAGGAACTGAATACTGTTTCGGTTTGGGTTTTTAATTTCACTTCCAAAGCTCCCAGTCCCATTTGGCACACCACAAAGTACGAGTATGTAGAACCTTCAGCTGATGGTATATGCATGTATATTCATGCGTCTTCACACGATACGCGGATGGCACGAGCGCAGGTTATGGTCTCAACAAAAAAGTACTACGAGCGCGTATAGGTGCGTTCACGACGATCACTGGCTTGCATTTGCCATGCCAAGTCTCTCTCCCACTGCCCACATCGTCTTTTCCATTTTGTAAAATACCCAACGCTGCAAATGTTGCTCATTCGGCTCGCACGCTGCTGGAATCAACTGAATTTGTCGCTGCTGTTGCTTTTCGATGCTCCACCTCTCTCTTTAACCCACCTTGCATGCCAGCGAACTTGTTTGAGCCGCACCACCGGCTGTGGATTGCATTTACCTGTGGAAGGTAAATTCCATATGAATGGAAGGTAAATCATTCAAAAGTGTTACATGTTGATATGTATACCCGTAGTACGTGTAAGTTCATGCAACTAGGAAGGTAAGTAGAAAAATATTAAGCTCGATAGAGACAGTTGGACACACACATTCGACATGGTTCAATAATGCAGACAACGGGCTAGAAATTGCTTTCGTCTGCCCTTTACGCACATCAACACATGTGCCATATTGAATCCAAACTCTTTCCAAAAAGTAGGTACATATCTTATAAAGAATTAATGATGTATACTTTTCGAAATTTCAGTTTCCGATAACAAATATTTTTAGTCGAAGCTCTATCTTAAGTAGTCCCGTTTCCCACCTATCTCGATTACCCGGCTGCAGCTGATGAGCACTACTCCTCCCCTAGTCCCCTCCTTACCACCTCACCTCCTCCCCTCCTACAACTATGTGCACAGTTGCTGGCGCGTGCCCAACTAGTTTCTTGCTTAAGTCTTTCGTTTCGTTTCGATCAAAAAAGAGCTAGGTGGGATTGGGCTAAACGTTAGCGGCTCGATCGGTTTGGCACTCGGGTCGTTTTGGGTTCGGTTCAGCTATGGGGGTTCGCTCCTTGGAGCCCGCTGCCAAGGTAATTGCAACTGATGGCTCCAACACAACGTCCACTGTTCCATGGCGCCGCATGGTGGCTGTTGAAATGTTTGGCCCGGCAGCCGGTTACGTTTGCAATTGGCTCAAACGAAACTGCAATCCAAATTATGCATAATTTTTCTTTGTGCCACGCCTCGCTGAAGTTTTGGGAGTTGAGTTGCCCTCCCCTGCCATTTCCCATGTCCCATATCCCAATTTCACAAACTCAAACTCCCCCGAGCATTGGATCACCCTTCCGTCTATTACTGACATTATTTCTGCTTGCCCGCGCACTTGGAGCCTGCTATCTGCATCTTTCCATTGTGGGCATTGTGTCGTTGGACACTTAGTCTTAATCACTGAGTTCATAGCCGCTCTTACAATGGTCTCCTCCCGCCTGTCTTTTATTTCTTGTCTCAGTTGTTAACCTTGGCCGGGCCAATTTGCTGCGAACAGGCACAGGCCACAATGACAGCCGTACCCACATTAATCATAATTTCAATCACCATTTTTACATGCATTCTTACCACATCGGGACAGTCAGAAAAATAAGAGTAAAACCCGACACGAAATTGGGAAGAAGCTGCGAAGAAGCGACCGCGAAATGTCGAATACCCTTGAAAACAAACCTAAGCAATAAAACAGACTGCTGGTATAATTTTTGGCTCCAAGATTCGATAGCTGCCTACGATATACATATTTAAATACATACAGATGTACGTATTTGTATACTCTTACTTGGCCGATTACATGAACTCGCTGATGACAAAATATAAAATAAATAAAGCGAAAGACAACCAAAAAATAGCTTTTAAAAAAATAGTCACATAATTCATAGAATGCAATTGAAATACTATAGGAGACACAATAAAGCAAAGATCGGTTAGGACCGTTTCTGTTCAGCTTTACTGAAATGATCATCGATTTAATATCGATGCTTTGTGTACCTTGCTGGTGGCTTATGCTTATGCAATCTGTCACTGCGCAAGGCTAAGATCAGTCGGCCACGTCTCAAGGTGAGCAAATGCATTGAAATTCCATTAAGAGCAACAGAATTGCTCGAATCCGACTTGCACTTGGAAGAATGTCATGAACACGTGCTACAAGCAATCACATGAGGATGGTGATGGGGCAGGGACACGGGCACGGCCATCCACTTCTTTGCCTGACGTCCGGCATCTGTGAATTGCTTTCGTTATTGCTTTGAGTTTCATTATTTTACTCTGGCTGTGACGAATGCAATTATCTGGGGCGCTTTCTGGCTTCGTACAGATTCCTACAACTTCTCACGAGTATGTACTAGTATGTGTTCGAGTTTTTGACAACGGAAATTTCCCGCTTGCAAACCCAACAATGGTTGCATCAAACGAGGCACAAGCAAACAGCTTAACCCTTTAAAAACTATAACTCGAGCTATATAGTAAGTATATAAACAATAAAATATTTTCAATGCTATAAAGTACGGTACAAACAAATGTGGTTACATCATGTAAGCCGACATTGGTTGCATGAAATGTTCCTGATGCACAAAAAATGCACAACATCCAAGCATTACATTGTTACATTACATCCTACGACATCTTATAGACAACATTTAAGTTAAAGTCATGCTTTGAAATATTTTAATATTTTAAATCGATTATAATCGAAAAAGATAAGGAAAGATATAGAAATATAAAAATGAAACAGATGAGTAGTCGTACTAAAAATAAAACTTGAAAACTTATAGCGTTGACCAGGAAAGAAAGAGGGCAGTAACTAGACTACAAAGAAAATGAGAAAACATTGTACTATTATATTGGATGTTGTGTCGTAAGGGGTTAACGCAGCAAATCTGAAGGTCTCAAGGCGCGAGTTAATTTTAGTTGTTGCACCGAAAGTGAGCGTGACAGAGTGAAAATCGTATGTAGTAAGAGAAGAGTGAAAGAGTGAGAGCTGGTGGAGCGGAGAGCGCTGAAATGTGGCATATATACTACAGGTATGTATTATGTAGTATGTATGCCTCATAATATACTTATATACTTATCCTATACTTACTCATACTTATGCTATAAGGCCCAGTTTTGGGCGGGGCGGTCATTTCTGTGCTGTCCCTGTCGTCCTCTGGTTCTTCGTCACGTACTTCTCTGCGACCTTGCCTGGAGTGTTTTTGTTGTCTGTGTTTACTCTCTGGTTGACACACTTTCGGGTGGCGGGGCTCATCTGGTCTCCATATCATCCCAAATTAGCAGTATATTTTATGTACATACAAACAAATGTATGTGGCTAAGAATTTAATAATATTCACATTTCACATCGGTAATTGCTGTGTTAAATTGCACGGAAGAAACTTTATTGTTGTGTTAATATTTTAACGGCACTTAACACATGATCCCGAATTAGAGAACCATTTTTAAATGATATTTGAACCTGAGAGATTCTAAAAAACTGGTCAACGTGTTGGCTATTATAAGAGACAGTACAAAGAACGAAAATTGTGGAGAGCCAGAACAAAAAAAAGCGATATTAACCAAGTGGTATATCGATTAATATAACATCGATCCGTCCGCCAGTATTTACATATATCAGCCTGTTCCAACCTCAAACGATGTGTTGGCAATCAACTAAGCTTATTACGCAATTTGTGCAGACCATAAGTAAATATTTCAATAAGGTCCGCTTGCTTGAAATCGACCGGATTTGCGTCATCCGTTCTTTCCCGCTTCCTTCGTGCTACTTTCCTTTCCAAGTTTTGTACCTCTATTCCTGCCTCAAGACCTGTCCCCAGGACATTCCGCAAGTGGTTGCGCTTTCTGGTAATTTTAAGACGCCATTTAATTGCGACGCATATCACATGCTACCCACGCCTACACCAGCAGCATCGGGTAGTTGACTGGAACCAAACAACTATAATCAGTTGCGACGACGCCAATTGCAGGGGCGTTTAAAAGCAGCTGACTGCGCAGTCTGCGTATCGTGGTAGTGGGGAGTGGTTTTGTTCGCTTTTCGGCGCTGATAAGCAGCACATGGTACTCTAACAAACACCGAGTAGGATTTTTGATTTGACTGCCTTTACTGTCATCAATATTTGGTAACAAATTCCTATCCCATGGCATTCCAATTCGAATTTCATGCAGGCGCAGTCGCTGTACCAGCAGTCTCTTCTCTCTATCGATTCGCCTGGTATTATATAATATTCCAGCCAAGTTGCTACCTCTCTTTCTCTGCATGATTCAACCGCACACAGCTTTTCAAACCAAGAAAACTCTGCTAATGGCGACATCGTAAGACGTTTTAAGTTTACACTACAAGTGGCAAAGGCTGGGCGAACATCATATGAAGGTGGTCCAGTTGAATAGTTACTATTTCTCTGGTCATTTGGCGCATTTTTGCATCCCGGTCCAGGTCCAGGCCTTCTGATTCGTCGAGGTTCAGTCCGCCTGGCGGCTACTACAACATTTTAAAAATGATTGTCCAGATGAGATAACAAATATGATATTTAAAATTTAGTGTGAGAAGCAAGGAGAATTTTACCTAATAATATTCCGGTTACACTTGTTATATAAAATTAAATATTTAAAGGTACTCATAATCGTATTCTAGCTTATGATTGTAAATATAGAATTGAATATGTACTAACCAGCCACAAAAAAAAAAATAATTGTGTGTAGACTTGATCAAAGGTTGGGTTAATTTTAAATTATAGATACACTTTTAGTTGGTGAAGCAATATACATGTGTATATGTTTGGTCATCTATACCTGATTCAAAAAAAGTTGTCCTTCGTAGACCTCAGATATAAATTATACTATCTAGTTCAAAGTTGTTGCAGTTCAAATTCATATTCGCCCGATTTTACTGTAGCCTGATGATTGATTATTATACATATGTAATACATATTATGTATGTACGTAAGTATGCATATAAGTAAGAGTATATATAAATTTGCATTCCATTCAAAATTAATTGAACTGCGGTTAGGGCATATATGCTTCGTAGTACATTCGTTTAGCAAAGTCTTGTTTTTTGAGCCAACTTTTGTTAAGTTTTTGGTTTGTTGGTAAAAAATGCAGGCAGAAACGAGCCACGAGATGGAGCCATAGTGGTGTTGTTTGTTTGCTTTTCTGTGCAACAAACAGAAACAGCAACAACAAGTGGAGTTGTTACAACAACAGCAACAGCAACAGTAAGACCGACTCAAATGCCTCTCCAGATTTGTCATTCGTCAGCAACAACAACGAAAATGTTGGTAAATGTGTCATGGTAGCAGGAGCAGCTTTTCGCGCTGGTACTGTGCCTCTAGTCATGGCTGTGGACGTGTTCCTGTTTACATTTCTGGCAATATTTTTAAACGTAAATATTATTACTTTATGCAAAAGCCGGTTTCGTTGGGTTTGGGTTTGTCTGCCACTGCTTCGATTCGTTCAATTGACACATATCCCATCCAAAAAAACTGTTTATCTGTCTCTTCCTCTGATCTGGCTGTGACTGCGGTTGTCGGGCTGGTCCCGTCTCGGTGGATTCGGTTGTTACTGTCAATGTTTGTGGCGCCAAATCTGAATTCTAATCAACGGCTTGTTCAATTTTAAATTTGACGCGCAGTGTTTTTTTTATGAGGATGATGTGCGAAATAGAAAGAAAAGACGACATGCTGGGGTCTGTGTCTTCAGAATTTAAGTTTATTTTGATTGAAGTCGTAACTTAACTGCCTTTGGCCAGAGTTCTAGAGGAGTCAGACCTGCCCCACAGCTTAGACTCTCTCCCTGAATGGTGAACGTGTTTTGTGTGGCACAGAAAGCACGTCAAACACGTAACAATTAAAAACATTAAAAGCCTTTTATATAATCCAGCAAAAACAACGCGCACTTCACACGCTTTGAACCTCTCTGGTTGATCCCGAACACACCCTTTATGAAATTTGAATCTACTTTAGACACATAACTCTGAAAGACCGCATAATATGTAAGTGCCATAAAGACGGCAAACGACAGCCAGCACTGAGAAATAAAGAAATGTTCATAAGCTTTTGTCCACTAAAACATCACAACACACATAACAGTCTGATCGTAAATAAGAAATTACTTTTCACTATTTTTATATTGGATCTGGACACAAAAATGTTAGAAACTAGTTCCACATTTCGTCCGAGTTAGCAAAGAAATTAAGTAGGTACCTACACATTTTATATGGTCTGGAAATCAAAAGATTTGAAGTTACAATAGTATTTAGCCTGAGTGAGTATTTGGTTGAAATTATGTTAATTACACAATTGCAGTCTCTACTTGTATTTGTATCTTTCTCCATATCTGCCTCTGTAGCTCTCACAGTATCTGTATTTGTATCTCTATCTGGGGGCTATGCGAATGCAAATTAGTCGCCAGAGCCCAGAGTTTGCCCGGGAGAATGTGTTTTGGTTTTGGTTTAGCATTACCACGCATAAATTTTCTTACGCCTGAGCGGCTGCAGCGACCATTTTCCACCAGGCCAATGTGGAGCGGTTGGGGCTGAGCCTGTGGCTTCCGTCTGGAGGAGAGAGGACGAGTTGCAGGGAACGGCGAATGTTTACGGTGAAATATGTTGAAAGGATACTTTATTGAGCGAGAGGAACAGGCCGGGGGCAGGAGATCAGTTTGTTCAGCCACAAAAGTTGCATAATTAATTTGTTTACACAGTTGTACACAAACTCAACGCAATTTTCTGGGGTCGCCGTGTAAAGTGCAATGTAAACATGTGCAACATGGCTGGGGGCACGGGATTTAAAGAGCTTCTAATAAATGAGAAGCGATGGTTCCAGCGCGATAAGCATTCCATCAAAAGGACTGCAACTTACCATAGATAATATCATTGAACAACAGTGAACGTCAGTGATTGTGGATGTGGATTGGTTTTCTCCAAGATTAAGTCATCTTTCCACCAGCCTTTTTCCCAAGTCAATAATAAAGTAATGGTCGTTTAAAGGACTTCTCGATTTTTCTCGTGACAATTACAAGCAATCAACTTATTTAAAATATATGTGTGTACATATGGAATTGGAACTATCATTTTAATACTTTTTACATTCTTCGACTCTTCAACACTGGGAAACACGTTTCATTCATACAAAGATAGCGAGAACAATCCGTTTTATTTTTTCAAATTTCCTTTTCCCAATTTTAAGCATACAACAAAATAATGGAACCTTTTTTTCAAAGTGAATTGTTATCCACCTTGCCCCCAAATACTCTGACTGCCAACGGGATCCATTCGACACTTCGAAACAGCAATATCATTAACTATATCATCGATAAAATTTCCATTTCCGTCCCATATTTGTTTATATTTGCGCCATTTGCTTTCAGTCCTTCATTGTTGCTGCTGTTTATGCACTTCCGTGCATTCCAGGAAAATGCTGCAGAAACAACATCAGGAAAGGCGTCAAATGTTTTACTGCCAGATAAGAAGTTTAATTTATGCGAAAACATGTTTGAGGCTTCTCCCGTCTGCTGGCCAGACACCGAATGGTCGGATATACGGATACATGTAGATAGCAGCGCCACCGTGATCCTGAATGTGCTGGGCCTTGACCAGACCCGCTCCCGCCTATATTTCACACCCCCGTTTCTATTGACCTTGCAGCAGAACGAACTTCAAACCCAAACAAACGCGAACAGAAAAAATTGGCCATAAATTTATCGGGTTTCTCTTTTCCGCTTTTGCGGACGTCGATGAGTGTTGTTTTTGCCACTGTCATGTATTTATTTAACGCCATGTTTTGTCTAGACCCTCGCACTGACTGACATTGTGGCCAGGCGGCACTCTCTGATATTTGTAGAGCGATAACTCCTTTTTTATGGTCACCCATTGTCTGCAGCAGCACAAGCAGGGACACTTCCACTAGCAAAAGCATGAGCGGAGCAGATTTTATGCTATTTCTGTCTGGCACTTTCCCAGAAAGCCGCAACCAACCAAAGCCACCAGCCACAGCCGAAGGAGCGTGCGTCTGCATAAGCAGGCAGGCAATTAAAAGCACAGATTCCAGACATTTCAGCCAATTAAGGGTGAGGGTGGTTGCATCACATAATTAATTAGGTCCTGAAGCGATTATAGTTTTCTTTATTTTAAGTTTTTTTTACATTTTTGCCACGTCTACGCCCAGAAGCTTAAAAATACTAGAATATCTTAGAAAGAAATAAAGACACGGGAAAACCTCAAACTAAGAATCATATCTAATCTCCACTTGATTATCAAACGGGAAGGAACGTGTAAGTCTCTTCTGGGGACGCGACTCTACTTATACCCGTACTCAGCCAGTATATTCATTTTTATACCCGTACTCAAAAAGAGTTAAAGGGTATATTAGATTTGTGGTAAAAGTGGATGTGTGTAACGCAGAGAATGAACGTTTCCGACCCCACAAAGTATATATATTCTTGATCAGCATCAATAGCCGAGTCGATATAGCCATGTCTGTCCGTCAGTTCGTCCGTCTTGTTGAGCGCCTGGATCTCAGAGACTATAAGAGCTAGAGAAACCAAATTTGGTTTCCAGACTCATGTGACATCACACTGCTACAAGTGTAATTATGATCCGACCTAATTCAGATTCGGCAATCTGGTAGATATGGTCATTTTCTACGATACTGCGTTTTTAGTTTTGTCGTATCTTTAAAAATGTGCCTGCCACAGATTTTCGTCGTTTGTGGGGGCGGAAGGGGGCGGGGCGAAATTTTGAAATACACTTGTAGCAGTGTGATATCACATGAGTCTGGAAACCAAATTTGGTTTCTCTAGCTCTTATAGTCTCTGAGATCCAGGCGCTCATCGAGACGGACAGACGGACACGGCTATATCGACTCGGCTATTGATGCTGATCAAGAATATATATACTTTATGGGGTCGGAAACTTTTCCTTCTCTGCGTTGCACACATCCACTTTTACCACAAATACAATATACCCCTTAACTCTTTTTTGAGTACGGGTATAAAAAACGCACCTGTGTTCGAAAAGGACAAGCATTTTTTCCACCACTGATCCCCTTTCCTATGCTTCTATGTGAAAAAACTGAGCCTCTAGCAACACTCAAAGACGCATGACGCAGCCCGATCGTAAAACGGCTTTACATTTTTTTTAACCTAGCATATTTTTACTTTCATTATCAGAAAACTTACTGACTTATTCAACAGAAAATGGTTCACTAGTAGACAGATATGCTCAGAGATTTATTGATTTTAGAAATTATAGTAGAATCTGTATAGCTGAAGAACACTGTCGCTGTGTAAATGCCTATGTAAATGGCATGTAAGTAACCACTTCACAAAATTTCATAGCATATTTTCGGGTGTAGATCTCATTTCATGTCTTCATGAAATCAAAAACAAAAAAAAATAAAGAACAAATGTGTGTTTTAAAACATTGTCTAATAATTTATAAACTATACATCCACATTGGAGGGTATAATAAACTTAAAATATCTATTGAATAACTACATATTTGCCTTTTCATTTGGGATCTTACATGTCTGATGGAATCATTAGTGCACATGTACATTGTACTTACATACATACAGTGTATATGGGCTATTCCTGGGCTACTTTTCAACATTCACCTGACTTTAATAAAGTGTTTTTCAGAATATGATGTGGTTACTATATAATTATATTTAAAAATCTGATAGAAAACGTATACAATTAAATGGATCAAAAATAAATTGCGCAAAACACACCCTAGAATGGGGTTACAGCATGTTACCTGCTACTGCTCATACTGCTCGCTGATGCATTCGCAGTAATCTTTCTTGTGGTATCTGGTCACCCGGTCTTTTGGCCACTCAGTCACTCAGTGGACCGGGGGCAGGCGGTTAATGTTCTTCTTGTGCAAGCGCCCCTGCTCGTGCTGCTTCACCGACTTCAGGTGGTTCAGCGTTATATCACAGGCCTCGCAGTAGTAGGCGGCATTCATGGCGCAAATATTATCCGGATCCTTAGGGCTGCTGGACTTGCTGGTGTACAGACCCAGTGGCTTGAGGGCGGTCATCGAGCCGGTGGAAACGCGGTACATATGGCGGCCGTCAAAAGGAACCGCCATGTCTCCGCTGATGTAGCTGTCAAGGACACGCCGGCGATGTCGGGCCCCTGCCATGTGCATGGCCATCTGGGACTCCGAAGTTATGCTCACATCGCACAGCTCGCAGTTGAGCCACTTGGAGTCGGTACGCACCCAGCGGCCATGCGAGTTATAGTAGCCCAGCCCGTTGGGCTTGGAGAGGTTGTGGGCCACCATCTGGTGCCGGCGTCCGTGGAAGTGCTGGTCGGCGTGCACATTCGATGTGAGCTTCAGATCGCACAGCTCGCAGTATAAGTCGATAGATCTGGCGTTGGGCAGCTCCTGCAGCCCGTCATCGGACACGCTGCTTTGTGTAAGGCCGTCGGGCATCCGCAAGGAGCCCATCCGGCGATCGTGCTCCTTTGAGCGGTAGTGTTCCATGGCGTTGCGCATCGTCCGCATGGTGGTATGGCACAGGCGGCAGTTGTTCCAGCGGAACAGGTTGTGCAGCTCCGGGGGACAATTCGGATAGCGGGCCTGGTCCCGCGCAGGCTCATCTGAATCATTTAAGACTGCTTTGCATGAATGGTAACGGCCATTAAAAAAGTTAACAGACTACGAGTCAATACTCACCAGCAACCGTGCTAGGTGGCTTCTGATCCCACAGCTTTTCGATTTCCACCTCCTGTTCTAGATGAACCATCATGGGGCGCTCACCCCTGGAGCGAGGCGGCGAAAGCTTCTGTTTGCGCATTTGAGCAAAGAACTTAAAGCCGTTTTTGTGTGAAAACTTTTTTTTTTGAGGCGGCAGAATCTTTTTGGAGCTGTAATGATGATTGGTGGTGACGACTTTAAAGCAGCTTTTTGGTACCAACGCGCTTCTGGTCTGTAGTGACTGTAGTCCGTTCGGACCATGCAACTTATGGTACACAGAGGGATGCGAATCTGACTGGTGGGGCTGCTTGTGGATTCCATTGAATGGTTTTTTTGATTGCTGCCTTTGAATCTGCTCGTTTTGTACGTAAGCCCCGCTGCTGTCGAGGCAAAGTTCAGGAACCTTGTCTTGGGCGTGGCTGGGCGAGTGCAGCTTCTTGACTGGCTGGTATCCATTCAAGGGGCGTGAGATCAGGCCATCAACCTTCCTGATGCCCAGGGCCACATACCCGTTCAGTAAGGCCTTTCCGCTTTCTGGGGTCTTGGCCACACAAGCATTAGTCTCGTCCTGCTGGAGCTCCTCAATCTGCAAGGGAGGCGGCTGGTGAGCCCCTACAGTCTCCTTGCACTCATTCACCCACAGTACCGAGTGGGCAAGGGGACTGGACTGCTGTTGGTGCAAGGCCGCCATGAAGTGGGCCTTGATCTTCTCGTCCGCCGGATTGGCGGTGGGAGCCTCGGTAATTGTAGAAACTAGAACTGGGGCCGTTAGGCTCCGGTGTGGAAGGACCTTGTGAACCCCGGTCTGAGCGACTAGTAGCAGAGTCTTGTCGGCGGAGTTTGGGTCATGCCAGACACCCATTGTACCCGTCCCATCAAGACCGGTGCTATGAATGGGACAGGGCGGTCGCTCCCTTGGGAACATCAGCCGCAGTGGTTGACATTCTGTATCTCGCCCAAGCTCCTCGTAATCTTCTGGAGGCCAGCCGTGTGTAGGAACATTCACATGGAAGTGATAGACGGCCTTCGAGTCCATGCATCGCACGTCCACTAGCACTGGCACATGACCGGTCGGAGTGAGTGGCTTGGGAAGGCCAGCAGCAGCCTTGACTATGTTTTTGGCGCCCTCTATGGCAACCTCCTCATGGACCAGCAGCTGCCGACGATATGGGTTCACATTGTACTTCAATGCCAACATTTTTCTGCTGGTGCTGTACTCGCACCGTAGGAGCTTTTAAGACAGGTCTGGAAACGGCAGCAGAGCGACGGGAATTGCTTAGGACATCTGTATCCTATCCGATCTTGGTCCGCCCTTAGTATTTAACGGAATATGCCGCTTGTTTTCGAATGTCCTTGTAGTTCGTTGCTTTGCATATATAATAGAACTCGTGATGTCGTTGAATTAGAAAGATGTTTTTCAATAAACTTGGAGTAGCGCAAAATCCACGGCCACTTCTATTTGATGTGCTATTCTAATACGAAATGTTGGCAAAACATTTGAATTTGTTGGGAATGGTGTTAAAAATGTGTGAACGGTTTCTCCACCAGTCGAAAACTACATTACAAAACACAATTACTGACAGACCTAGCGCCGTGATGGAATTGTCAAAGCTATCAAAACATGCTGTTCGTGTGTTTGTGTGTATGTGTCTAGAAATGAAAGTCACTCTAACAGGGATGCATTTTAAGAAGGGTATCGATTGTTTCAGTGTTGGAGACCTCGTTTCCATGTGTATTGGCAATTCACACAGTCGGACTTGGAAAGCTTTGCAGGCAGATCATCGCACCCCCTAAATTTCCACACGGAACATTGCGAAGCCAACTATAGGCTTGTGGCAGGTCAATGATAAGAATCCTGTCCCACCTGATCCCATGGCTCCACAGAAGTCAAGAACCGCAACCTACTCAAAGCACTAACGGATGTTTTATGGCATATCGACGATACTTACTTTAACCAGTGTGGCCTAAGGCAACTACGTTAAACACGGCTTCAGTTGCTCACCGGGCTCGATCATCGCAAAAATTACAGTACATGAAACGCAGGTACCAACATGGAAGAATTTTGTAAGGTATTCCAATAATGGAATACCCTGAACCATCTGCACTTAAATTCCAACAGGGAGCTTACCCACCAAATCCTTCAAGGTCACGACCACCCCAATTTTTACCGTGATTGGATGCAGACAGAAGCCTAAAGGGCCCTAAAGGAACCTTTTGCAACTCGCAGAAATTCAAAGAAATGAGTTGGCAGGGCTTTAAACATTCCCGACAAACTGCCGTACACCAACAATCATCCAGACAGTCCCATATGTACATATGTGACTCCCGTGGGGTATTAAAATAATGCTTAGCGCGTGATTTGCCATCCTTGCCGGGTATCCTTGGCATCAATTGTCAACGTTTAGCCGGAGGACAAGTTTATCGGCCGAGGCCGCACCTGGGTGGAAATTTCGACTAGGATGACAACTGCCACTGCCAACATCAATAACACTAATGGGAAAAGGATAAAGATAAGCATTAAATAACACACGTACGCCCGGCGTTTTGGGGCTTATGCTGTGCCCTCCCCAACGAGTTTTGCCAGCCAGGCCTATAGGTATACCTTTTGAGATGTGAATGGGGTCGTGTGCAGAGAAGTGGGAGTTGCGTGGGACCCAGAGGCATACTTTGTGGGCGGGGCTTCGTACGTGTGGCTGTTAAGCGACATGTTCCTATCCCCTTTTGCCACACTGCCTCTCGTCAACGTTTTGTTTGCTCTGCGCATTTTTCACATTTCGCGTTTCCGCTTGTTCGCCATTGTCCTGACAGTTTCTCGCTTTTGCTTTCCCCTCAGCATCAAAACACGAAAATATGCCACACGTGATCAATTCAACGGCGTATCCGCCCCTATTCCCTGCGCTTCCTTGCCACCATGGACATCATTTCAATTGCGAACTGAATTTAAAAACTGGAGCTCATGGCGGGTAAAGATGGGTGTAGGATGGGTGCCAAGTTGATGGAAACGCGTTCGTCCGAGAATATGCTAATTTTTGGTGATATGCATTGATTTCCTTTCGTGAATTATTATGATGTAAGACCCTCGAGCAATAGGAAATCCTAACAGCAATGGCTGTCGGAACGGCATCTTTAAATAAATAAAAAAATTAAACATTTTAAGAACTTAGGTAGGTGATAGAGAACTTTCCAGAGCTTCCGCAAATAGAAATCAAGGAAATCGGATTTTTTGTTTAGGAGAACATCATTTTACTCAATTTGTTTTCACATACTATTGTATCGTTCCAAAAAATATTTTTTTCACAAAATCAGGGATGATATTCGTATGGAAACGATAACGATATTATGACATTAAACTTTGCTAAAATTTGCTGCATTTTTAGCTGGCTTTCACTTGTTTCCTTCCATTTTTAATGTGTGTGTGTGCGTGTGTCTTTTGGACGACGAAAGATAGAATATTCTTTATTCCGCTCTAGATGGGAAAATACCATCGGTTACTTTTCTAGAATTTATCGGCTTGTAAAAGAGCCTGTAATGTAATTTTCGTTCGACGGAAAATTTGGCGCGCCTCAGTACTATACTAATGGAATTCAAATGGACACACATCTCTTAAAAATTTAAACTATATGAGCAGGTTAAAGATGCACCTCCAATGCTGGTTAAATATACATATTTACCACTCCAAACGGTGGCGAACTAGATCCTGTACGGGAAATTTACATATTATTTAAATCGTAGAAGCTTAAATAAATATACAGCCGGCATTACAATGGCCGACAACGAAGTGATGCCTTTCAAATAAGGAAAGACACAAATATATATGTAGATACATACAATGTACAGCTGGCAGGCTCTTGTAAATCCACGATATTTATGCGTTATGATTCGATAATTGATTCTCCAGCAACGACAAAAGACAGTGCAATTTTTTTCCGCAATTCCGTAGAGAATCCTAGTACTCATATCCAAAAACTGTTTGCTACCAAAAATATGTCATATATTCTTCTAGCGGCCAATTGTATGCTGCTTGGTTCTTCTTGCTTTCCTATTCCCCAGGCATATACTGGGATTGTAATGACCAGACTTTCGTTTGCTTGAAACACAACGATTGGGATTCTATGTCCCTCCGTAGATACCTTCGGCAAAGGGAGTGCTGGTTCGCGTAATCTTCCTTTCACAAAAAGATCACCAACAATTGCACTGCTCATGTAAAAGGGTCCCTCTGACTCGACACAACTCGATTTGTCTATCCCCGAATACCTGTTAACTTGGCTTAACAATCGACAAAGATCAGCGGAGGAGTTGTAAGGTGGGGAATCTCTGTAATCTCTGTCCCGTAATGCCCATCTGACTTTACAAGCAGCACGACAATAAATAAAAGTGGAGAAGAAGAAAATACAAAGTGACTCGGACCGTACCGCTTGCAATTACCTAGGTGTCATGGTAACGCTCTTGCCTCTATACCCACCCTACCAATCATCTTCCGCTGGCAACGATTATAGGAAGATCCCAAAGCGGTTACAACACTTTAATGATCCTTTTATACCCATCTAGGAAAACCGAACACACGTTTCACTCCAGTCTTAATTGTTATTTAATTCAACATAATAATTTCCAAGCTTTTCATTCGAACGTTAATACTAAGTGCTAGTCATATGCACGACATTGTAAACTACATGAAAGTTACTGATAGAAGAGCGAAAACCAAAACAAAAACGAAATTCTTAGCGCTGAGCATATGTATGTGGGCATATAGGTATGTAAGTATGTACTAACTAAATGTTCTCGAGACGTGAAGGGGAATTCCTTAAACGATACTCGCATTGCAATGCTGATAAGCATTATGATTGAATATACTTAATCTCGATGTCTTTCATGTTTTCGTTTCTTTTCTCTTTTTCACGCTTCACTTTTTTTTCTAATCTTTTGGTGGCATTACATATAAAACGAGAAGGAACGTTCGAGTCGCTTCTGTGGACGCGTCTCTACTTATTCTAAAATTCTAAATGTGTCGCAGCTGAGTTTTCTGTCCCAGTGCTGGGACCATTCCGCTGTGGTGCTGAGGCATTCGGGTCGAGAGCAAGGCCATTCGGCAAGTTGACGACATGTTCGACTAATGACGGGATGCGAAAGCAAGACGAGCATTGCAAATGTATGTGTGTAACAGACACGACAAAATATTTATGAATTCTTATTTTCCGAAACCGTTTTGAGTTTGGTTTCCAGGTTACGTAAATGTGTGTGTGCCATGTATTCACATATACTGTACTTGTGTGTGGGCTCTACAATTTTTTGCCGTTTGAACCGAAATTGGGTGTTTTGTCTTGTTTTGAGGGCTGATGAGCGACCTGAGCTGACCTGCCGCAACATATATGTGGAATGGGCCGAGTGGGTGGGTGTGGGCGTGGGAAATATATAAAATATTTGTTTGATTTATTTGAAATTGCACAATGAATATTGTGCAAATGTCGTCGGCTTTCGACTTTGTCAATAAATTTATATTTTTCAGATTCTACATATGGGCTAATCCTGCTTTACGGACGTTACATTCGTACGCAAATTTACTTGTTCAAATTGACACAGCTGGCGTTCACATTGGTTAATTTTCATTAAAAATTTTACGAACGTTACGGACGTTACACTTTTTCCATCAAGCAAATTGTGTAAATGGAAAATATTTATGTATTTACAAATCCTTTTAACCTTGAAATTATTAATTTATTACATACAAAAAACGTATAAGATATTTCATTACTATTATATTACATGTTTGGGGGGATCTAGGGGGATCTTGAGTATTCATGCCGTTACGGACGTTACACACTTTGCCATTAGTATTTTTCAAAATAATGTGTAATGAAGGTATTTTTTTTTTCATTACATTAAAGTGCATAAAAAACTCTGTTTATAAAGCTTGTTTGGAAAACAAAATTGTTCAAATTCATTCTGTTAAAATAAAAAAACCCTTTTTTCCGTTACGGACGTTACACACAGTGTGACCATTTTTAGTTCAAATTTTTTAATATATATTAGATAACTTACAAATATGATTTGTATCTTAAATAATAGAAAATGAAACAAATTTTAAGATTGGCTAAGCGCTAAATGCTGTAAAGACTGTTTTGCCCACTTTTTTGACCATGGAAAATATCCTTTTTTTTACAAGAATACTTGAAATTAAGAGGTACGTGTAGGTTAGCCTCAGCCAAGAACAAACAAACCACCGTAAAAACATATTGCTCATATCTTTTGAAGCTTGAATATTTATCCTATTATTATATTAACAAACATTTGGATTTTGGAAATTTTTAAATTTCTGCCTTTGGTTTAAGGATTTTCGGATTAGCCCATATATTTCTTCAAGAAAAGTCAGATGCCAAGCTTTTTTGGCACCTATATTTATCCAAATCAGTTAAAGACTTTGATTTAAACGTTATAATGTTTATTTATACCGGCGGCTAGCTGAAGCCAATTGCTCGCTCTTTTGCCCAGCCAGATAAATGTTCACAAGCGGGGGTTTAGTATGCAACCTATGCGGCGAGAGATTAGCATAGAACTACTTGGGCCGCGATGGCCGATCAATGCAAGAGCCGACGCAGC